AAAGTGGCCCAGGTAAAATCCTCCTCACTATAAACATATCCTGTTTTATGAGAAATTGTTTGAAAGTGGTTTTGGTGAAACCGTGGGGCTGGAATTTGTGTTTGTCCTCTCGAATCAGTTACTTATGCTTCTCACTGGGAATCCTGATGCTTCTCACAACACCCACACATGGTGCTTCAAAGTTAGGGTTGGGTATTTGACCAGTCAAATATAGTTTGGTCAGTTGACTGGTCAAATATTGGCCAAAAATTGTAAAAAAAAAATTGCCAGTAGGTCCAAATAATACACAGAAAAAGCACACATTTTTCATTAAGAAATGTGTCAAAAACAATTTAAAAAGCCATATTTCTGCCAAGAAAACGACAAAAAATGTAGGGTTTTTTTGTTTTTTTGTTTGTTTTTTGGGGTTTTTGGGGGGTAAAATTGCTGGTTTCTTTGACTGGTCAAAATGTATGCAATTGACAATATTTGACTGGTCAATTGACCAGCTTGCCAACCTTATTCAAAGTAAAGAATCTAATAATAGTTAGTCTCCTGCACTCCTGCCTCACTGCCCCACTATTTATCCACAATGGTGCTGAAAAACTCTCCTGCCTTTCCCACTACGTTGGTCATGCTCATTACCTCTTATCAAATCACGTCACTCGCTTTTTTTCACCTTCTGCATTGGGTGTGATATCTGGCCATGAAATTTTCCACAGGCAGAATTGTAGTCTAGACTTGTGTTTAAATAATACATGTCTAACCTTGAATTTTGCAAAGAATCTAAAATGTACAAGCGCTCATTTAAACTGATGACTACATCATCATCTGAGTTTGCAGAAAGCCTGAAACCTTTGCTCCAAGTGGTGTCACCTACCACATTCTTCCCAAAGGGTTGTTAACTTTGAAACCCAATTAGGATCTCTTATTGTAATCTTCCCGTGTTGTGTTCATACCTCAGTTCCAAACCCATGATTTCTCCCCACTATAAAAAGTTTCAATCACTTCAATTATTATCATTATTATTATTATTAATAATAATATCAATAATAGCACTATTAATAATGTCCAGAATATTGAAAAGTAAAGTTTTAATGCAGGGCAAACCTGCTTAATTTTGAACTGAATGTTGGAAGAGATGTTACTTACTTACTTTCATATTTAACATTCATGAATTAACCTTCACATTCCAGCATACATGAAAGGGTAGTGTTTAGACAGTGATGCCAAGCACTGTAGAAGGCAGGGGAAGTTAGCTGCAGCACTCACTCAGACTGTCAGAGTCACCTGGTGGGTCTGAACTTGTGGTATAAATTCCTGTGTTTCGTTAGGTGAGCAGGTGCCTCTCCAACCGGTTGTGCCAAAACAATCCACATAGCTGTGCAAAGTTCAAGCTCTCAGTCCTTCCTAGGGCTTGGCTTTATTAAACATATCAGTGATAAGATAACATAAAGATTGGTTCACACCTTCCCCTAGGCGTGGCTGTTTCTAGGGTTCCTCCCTCAGGATTGCACAGTTCACCTACGGATCCTCTCATACCAGATAACCACTCCTCTCTCCAGGTAAACTAGCAAGTTGCCTGCAGAACCCTTTTGCCAGCAAATAGGCAGTGGTGTTCCCAGCACACACTGGTACCACAGTAGCTCAGAGCAGTCTATGCAGGATGTTCTCCTGTTGTGAGAGATCACTGGTGAGAAGCTTGCTGGGAGATATTTGCAGACAGAGAAGCTCCTACATCATTCCCTAACATGGGTGTCTAGTGCCTCTTGAGTCGGCTGGGGGGGGGGGGGGGGGGGGGGCGGTTAAAAGCAGCCGCACCACTTCCAGAAGTGGCATGGTCCCGCTGGCTAAACAGGGAGTGTGGCCTGACGGGGGGTGCACCAGCTCTCTCAGGGGATGCACGTGCACCCCCGTGTACCCCCTACGTATTGCCCTTGTTCCCTAACGTGAGTTCTGAGTGAAATAGCTTGAAGCACACTGTGTGTTAGGGCTGTGTGATGCTTCGGTCCCTGATTTGAATCAGGCTGAATCTCTGCTGAATCGGTGGCTGAATCTCCAAATCTGAATAGAATCAGAGGACCTTTTAATCTCTCTGAATCGAATCGGAACCCTCCAAATCGATTCAGAGAGATACGGAAAGATTTGGCGGTTCAGACACAGACACAGCTTTAAATGTTTTTTTCTACATACCTCTAGGTAGCAGGCAGCTCATGAATGCTGCGATGCTGGGGTGCATGGAGCATCACAGGAGTGCGGGGGGCTCCTCAGCATACTCAGCAGCAGACCTGGAAGTGGGCCAGAAGCACTTCCGGTTCAACTTTGGGTACACTGAGAGGTGTGCGGGGGGGCCCCCACGCTCCCCTGGCTTGGTGACTGGTGCCTCCTGGGTCTGGCGGGGGGCACCTGGGGGTCCCCCTGTGGCTGATCACTGAGCTGCGGGGCCCCCCCCAGCACACTCCCTAGCAGACCCGGAAGTGGACCAGAAGTATTTCCAGTCCACTTCTGGGCTTGCCGCCGAGCATATGGAGGGTCCCTGCCCTCCTGTGGGACACTCCATGCACCCCAGCATTGCAGCATTCACAAGCTGTGCTGGTACCTCAAAGTATGTAGAAAAAACTTTTAAAGTTGTGTCTATGTCTGAATCTCTGATTCTCCGAATCAGCATCAAATCTTCAGATTCGGATTCTGCCGAATCAAACTGGGGACAGTGATCTGAATCAACTAATCGAATCACTGTCCCTGATTTGGGCCGAATCCGAATCAAATAGGGCCCGCTTCGCACACCCCTACTGTGTGTTGCATGGAAGTCCCAGTAGCTATGTTTGGGCTGAACATGGAGGAGATCCTCATAGAAAGAGCCCCTGTGCCTACAGAGCCATTGACGATATCCAGTGGAGTTTGGAAAGTTAATCCATAGACGTCATGTTCATAGAGTTCTAGATCATAATCCATGAGTTCATAATCCATAGAGTTTTAATTTTTTGCAAGTAATCCATAGATTTGGCTTTTCTCCAAGCCAATTAGCTGGCACATGTTTGTTTCAAGTGCTCATGAAAGTGCAGTTCTGACTTTCCTCTCCTGTACTTGTTAGTCTTTTAGCAGGCTCATATCAGTGGCTGTCCACCATTTCCATGGTGGAGCGCTCTCACCTATCCGACTGGAGGCTTGTCAGGATTTCCCTTGCTGTTCCTCTATGTGGGAAGCAGTGCCAGATTATGACATGCTGAGGCCCTAAACAATATCCAGTTTAAGAGGTCCCATATGATAAAAATAATCCACGAAATCCATGCAAATGGATTTTCATGAAATTTAAGATGAATTATTGTTATTTCTGCACAAATTTATGAGCTCAATATGAATAATAACTGTGGAGCCATATATATGTATATTTTTGTCATATTCGAATGAAAATGTCCGGAGTTTTTTTTTCTTATTTAGAGGCCCCTCGCATTGTGAGGCCCTAAGATGTAGTTTAAGTATCTTAAGCCTAAATCTGGCACTGCTAGGAAGGCAGGAGTGGTTGTAAAACCCTGATACCTGCAAGTAACTTCTGTAAGGCTTGCAACCTACAAGCTGAGAGCCCCTCTTCTCCCCCACAACTGCCATGATGAGAGAAAACAGTGGGGAGGCATTCTGGATTACACTGGGAAGCAGGTAATGGAGGGATTGATTGCCATGCCTGTGTATAGAGCATGCCATGGACACTCCAAAATAAAGGATGAAAATTAGGAGGAGGTGGGCAATGGAAAGAGAAAAGGAGTAGTAGGCAGTTTGCAGAGCAAGCAGCAAAAAACAGGACAGTGCAGTGCTCTGGACATGAGGCCTGGCCAGGTCACATTCATCTGCTTATTTATCAATACACAGGACCTTCTCTCTGCAGGAATTGGTTATGCCTCCCAGGTGATCGTCATACTCCTGAACTTCTATTACATTATTGTCCTGGCCTGGGCTTTATTTTATCTCTTCAGTTCATTCACCATAGATCTTCCCTGGGGCAGCTGTGACCACGAATGGAACACAGGTAATTCTGGATTCCCTCCTCTTTGTCTCATCTTCCCCCTGCCTACCATCAGCTCTCCGGGAAAAATCTGTTGCTAGCAAATACCATCCAACCTGAGAAATTAGTTCCTCCCTTGCAAGGATGGCTATTAAACAATGATGTCACACAAACTGTCCCTTGCTGTTCCAGCAATGGATCCCACCTGCAGAGATGAGGCTTCCCCTTATGGATGGAGGTGGTAGGAGGAGGTATTCACTCTAGTTTTATTCAGTCCTTTGCCTTTTTTTTGTGCTCTACCTGAGTGATGGGACATTATATACGTTGGAGGGAAAAGGGGAATTTATAACTTTCTTATGATTCAGTGATAGGTCTGTCCCTAGCAGTGGTGTGCCTTGGAGGAAGGACCTTTCTTTTTGAGCATCAGTAAGGACTCCGGAATATTTGTCTCCCATTGAGTTTTATCTTGCTTGGAGGGAAGAGGGATCTAGACTATTTTCCTAGGGATTCTGGTATTCCAGTTGCATCCATTTACATGTTCTCTCCTTGGGCCTGTTCTGCAGGGAACTGCGTGGAATTTCAGAAGACAAACTCTTCTCTAAATGTGACGACTGAAAATGCCACCTCCCCTGTCATTGAATTCTGGGAGTAAGTGAACAACCTGTGTTTCCATGATCCCTCTTGGGGTTACCATCCTCCAACAATGACCATCCACTCTGTGATAGCACTTCTTGCCAATGAAAACATTCCAGGGCTTTTAGAACCAAAGCAGTGACCCCACAGACTGGACAACATATAGGGTAGCTAGTGGGGACAAATGTTTTTTATTATGCTGCTGTTAATCTGGAGTAATTACAATGGGGATAATAGTTTTCTTCTGGATTTACTGAGGCCTCTTGAATTTCTTGCATTTTGAAACAAGGTTTGTTCACAAGGATGAAATCTCACTGATGTCAATGAGGTCACAGTGCAGACTTAACTCTCACTGTCCTTTTGGGCCTGCTCAATTTGTTTGTTCTCTTTTTCACCTATTTTTCCTTCCCCCTTTGTTTTAATACTCTTTACCTGACTACTCTTCTTCTTTCCCCACCATCCCTCCTTCCCACGTCATAACGAGAGGTTGGTTTTACACTTTCAGTTCAAAATCTCTTTAAAACACATTGGGCCAAAATCATCCTTGATGTGAACTGCACCGAGATGATGTAGTTGCACCAATGGAGTGATACTAGCCTCAGGGTACTTTGCCATGTGTAGTCATTTGCTTTGCTTGCAGCTGCTCTGCTGTGGGTGACCTTGGTAACTGCATCCAAGGCCTGTGTAAAAATGCTCAGAATATGGTAACACTGACTTCAGAGCTGGTAATGGGGATATGTCAGAAGTGATCCATACCACTTTTTATGGGTTTGTTTTGCAAGGCTGGACCTACTCAACTTAAGGTCTCTTGAATGAAAGGGCTTTTAATAAATGGTATGCTGCTGAATGAGAAGAGTAGGGGGGTACCTTTTCTTTATGTTGGTGCTGGCATATGATATTATAGGTAGATGGTGAATTTTGTATATGATCTTTCTGTGCTGCTGACAGCAAGCAGCATATTTTGCCTCAAGGTAGTTAGTAAGCATGAGCTATCCTGAAGGGAATATGTAGTTGAGACAAAGACTTTAGTTTTACCCTAAGCTAAACTCGCCAAAATCAATCCAAATGGTGGTAGCTTATCCCATGTCTTATCTTCACTGCTTCCCCCCCCACCCCCCCCTTGGGGTAGCTCATGCATGTTAATTAGCCCTATGTAAAAAATACGGATTTTCTTAGTAGTTAAGAGAAAAAAGGCCTACTGGCTTGTGATCACTTATGAGTCCAAACACCCCTTGGGAAATGGGGATGATTTGGCACAGTGTCTTGGCTAACTTTCAGTGGGGGTAAACTTCCTTTTGCCATCATGAGTTTTCCTTGCAGATTTAGATGGACATATTCAACCTCACTTTCAGTCTTAGATCAAGGTATAATCTTGCTCTGTATTGTTGAACAGCTACCCGTGGGAGCCAGGGCCAGATTAACCCTTAGTAGGCCGTAGGCAAACAAATTTGTGGGCCCTGGGCTGGTTGAGACCCCCCCGGCACTGCCGCCCACGGAGAGCAGGGCTCGGAGCTGCCACTGGGAACCAGCTGTGGCTGCCGCAGAGGGGAAAGGAAGGGAAGGGAGGCAGACAGGGCCATTGGTGCCATCACCATGGAGGGAAGGACCAGGACGCCCCGCAGCTCAGGGCCCTAGGCATGTGCCTAGTTTGCCTGTATGTTAATCTGGCCCTGATGGCAACTCCTATTCAGCAGCAAGCCAAATGATTCATATATACACATTCTTGCCTACAAACACAGTGGGATCTTTTTGGAGTGGAAGGTGCTTGTAAGCCATTACAAACTGTTAATGCACTCACAGTCTACTTTTTCCCCCTACTAATGCTTCGCCCTCCACTAAATATTCTTGCAGCTCCCTGGCTCTCCCTGGGCCTGTGTTTATGCTCTGATTATCTCCTGTCCCATACTGTTCTTTCTTGGCTCATTCTTCCTTGGGTTGGTGGCTGAAAGGCTGAAGTTAAAATCAGTGTTTAATCAGTCCTGTGTTACTGGGGCATCCACACATGGGACTGGACATATCCATTGTCCCAGCTCCTCTGATCTCTGTGGCCTCTGTCACAGGATCTGTTCTCACTCTCACAGGAATGCAGGCATTGAGTATGGAGGGGGAAGGCTACCAGTTTGCTTGAAAGACACAAATCTGCATTGCACTCTGCTTCTGTGGATCCCTGTAACTCCTTCCTCAGGCTGCAATAGAACACTCTTAAACTCTGCAGGTGTCCTTTCCCACTGTAAGCTCTCCCCCACTCATCACTGTCTGAAGGAGGTGTCTGTGAACACTAAAGAAATAGGTGAGACAAGAAGGGCCTGTCTATCTATAATGTTCTGCTGGCAGAACTGTATTGGCTAGGGATGTGAAAAGCACCAGCTAATCCCACATTGAAGGCACCTCAAAAAGGTTGGGAATTCATTATTTGGGTTAAGGTAGGCACAAATTGAGTTCAGAGACCCCTTACAAGAGACCACCAGTATACAGGTAGTAGGGGAGAGTTCCTGCCCCAAAGAGGTGAGGCAAAGGATGGGCCAGGGTGGTGGTTGTGGGGAGTGGGAGGGAGGGTAGGCAGGGAGGATTAACAGTGATAAGCGTTTGGCTTAAGTAGGTCATTGTCAGATGGGAATAGAATGCAAGCCTTCTGATTTCAAGGCCTCTGCCTGTCCACGAGGCCACTGTCTTCTATGCTGGGTAGCTGAGGAATGTCCATTGGCCTGTCCTGAGGTGCACAGGGTGGAGTCGGGGTTTGCTCCTCCCTAAACTGCAAAGGTATTTTATGGTTATTGTTGAGAATTGGCCTAGGCACTGAAGATCTTGTGACTGACCTCTGCAAGACTCAGCATCTGTGTGCCCTCTTT